GCCCTGTAGACTTTCTTGGCTTCTTCTTTTTTTTTTTTTTTTTTTAATGTCTGTAGCTAAGATTTTCAGGAGGTCTCCCCCAATCAAATCTGATCTTCATCAGTTTTGAAGAGAACCATAACATTTTGCTTCCTGCAGAAACAAAGACATAACCTCTCCCCCAATGCAGCGTATTTTCTGACTTCCATTTTGAAATGAAGACATTCTTAAAATATAGAGGTTGGTGTAGCCGGAAGCTTTCTCTGGTGTCGCCCGCCCCACAGTCCCCCAGCTGCTTATAAAATAATCACTCAAAGGCTTAATATTAACTACCAATTGCATGGCCTATGGCAGGCTTCTTGCTAGCTAGCTCTTACAACTTAACTCATTTCTATTAAGTTGCCATGTGGCCATGGCATTACCAGTCTGCTGGCATCTTGCTGCTCCTTTCATGGCGGCAGCTGGCATCTCTCTCTCTCTCCTTTCTTCTCTCTGTATATCTGCTTGGATTTCCCACCTGCCTCTAAACTGCCTTGCCATAGGCCAATGCAGCGTTATTTATCAACCAGTCAGAGCAACACATATTCATAGCATACAGAAAGACATCCCACAGCACTTCCCCTTTTCTATCTAATCAAAAAGGAAGGTTTTAACTTTAACATAGTAAAATTACATATAATAGAACAGTTGTCAAGCAGGAATTACATTTATGATGTCTAGTCTATTTGTATTTGACAAAATTAAAGAAAATATTCTATCTATCTTATATTTGTGAGTCTTAAGGTTTCATATCTAATTTATCTTTTATCATAACCAAGGAAAATTATAACTATTTTGTCTTCAACTACATCAAAGACCCAAGAAAGATATAATATTACCTAAGTAAACAAGAAGTGCATTAAAAGCAACTTGGAAAAATCTCAAATGACAGAGACAGCTGGCTGCCTTGACAGTCACCCAAAGTTCCTCTGTAACGGGGCCTATAGGCCTAGAGTTTTTTAGTAGCTCCTTCCTGTGTCCTGTAGAATATCTGGCAGTCTCCTCTGTGAAGCAGGAACCTGAAGGACCATCTCGCCTTGTTTTGGCAAAATTCAGGGGTTATTTTTCCATGGGTCCTATATGTCCAGTCTATATAACATACTGTCAAGCAGTCCAGGCAAGAGCAGTTCTTTGCCCAACAGCCCATTTTGTGCTAAGAAGAAGATAAATTCCATATGGAGTATCTTCATTGCCCATCTTCCTCTTTGAAGTAAATCAGTGCTGCCAGGAGCAGACATGTCTCATTGTCCAGAAAGTCTTAAGTTTTTTAAACATTTTAAATGCCATATTCTGTAAGTCTTTGGAGTGTTTGAAGATTACCTTCCTAATTGAAATATATCTTTATATACCTAAACAATTTAATTAACGTGACTATAAGTTTGATTATCTTAGATGATTATAATCTGTATTTCTTAATTATATGTTACCATTTTAAATGAGCTGTATAAAAATAATACCTTAAACAAGAGTAGAAATATACATACAGAATAACAAAATTAACTTTAATGTTGTAATAAACTAAAATCTATAGCAATGTAAAACATTTTAAACAAGTTGTTTTTCTTAGATTCAGTAATCTACCCTTTCATCCTATCATATCTATAATATCCCCTTTTCTTCTTTAGAAAGAGATTGCATTTATAATCAACCCCCTTTAAATAAAAATATACAGTTATAAACAATATTTTGGGAATTTGGGCATAGCTTCTATTATTTTCTGCTGATTGGGAGCATTGGTAATCTTATGGGGATCCTGAGAAAATTAAGAATTATAGTTAAATCTTGGCTGTAGTAGTCTGTGAGGATGGATTGTCTTAGCCAGTTGCTTTGAAGCTGATTTTGAATGTTGGATCATCTGGGCCATGGTTATGGGAGACCTTTCAGGAGGTCTTGGTTGATCAAACTGTATTAGTCTGGAAGCAATCCATAGATTCTCATCTCCTGTGGAAACAAAAGCAGAACCTCTTTTCCAAAGCAATGTATCCTTAGACACAAATTTTGAAGTAAAGATACCTTTAAAATATATATATTGGTTTAACTCAGCAGCCTTTATAATCAAATGTCTTATTGTAGTTAAAAATTCCAAAAACAATATAATCCAGATCCTCTGTGTGATTTTTATCTTTACATGGCTTATTTTTTATATTATTTTTATCCCTTTTAAAATTATCTATTTTTTTATATAACTATCTATCCTCCTTTTCCTCTCTCTTCCAAGCCTACATATATTTTTTGCATATAATGTAAAAAACCATTTAGAGGTTTATTCCATCTGAATCTGTGGACTCTGTCCACTTCAGCTTCCCAACATGGCGGAGGTACTCAGGAGAGTCAAGCTTATCCCGCCAACTCTAGGGTTCATGATCCCTTCAGGTAGCGTGCAGCTGGCCCATAAACCCTTTTTGTCTGTATGAGTAAAGGCTAAATCCACCATGCAGCATGCTGTGCAGCTTGGAGACAGCTTTGTACCGAGGCGGGAATCTGCAATGCTGCGCTCAAGCCTGAATGCTTCAGCATCTCTGTACCGGCCTGCATGAGACATGAAGTAGGAAGCTGGTTTTGGCTCCACTTTAGAATCTTTTATTAAGTTCTCTCAGGTTTTAGGTGGAAACTCGAGCCGACACATTGGGCAGCCAAATGTAGTTGGGAGGTTTCTCCGACGTCTCCCCCAACTCCCACCCCCAACCCCATGTTCCCATGTTCCTCTGGGCGTGCGGTTGATAATAAAGCTGCATTGGCCTATGGCAAGGCTTCTTGCTAGATAACTCTTATAACTTAACCCATTTCTATTATCTATAAGTTGCCATATGGCTGTGGCATTACCGGTCTGCTGGCATCTTGCTGCTCCTCCCACAGCTGCGACAGCTGCGACAGCTGGCGTCTCTCTCTCTTCTCCTCACTTCTCTCTGTATATCTGTCTGGATATGCCTCTAAGCTGCTTTGCCATAGGCCAATGCAGCTTTATTTATCAACCAATCAGAGCAACACATATTCACAGCATGCAGAAAGACATCTCACAGCATGTTGGTTTAATTTGCCAGTTTCAATAATTCAGTATCTCTCAGCAGCTATTGTTTTTTGCACATTAGAGCTTAAATTCCAAGTCAACAAAGTACCATACAGGATCCAGACACCCTGTGTATTTCCCATCTTTGTGCAGCTTATTTTTTTTTATTACTTTACTCTTTAAAGATTTTACTTTATTATTTTTAAACTGTTTTTTAATGACTGTCCATACCCACTTTTTACTGTGTCTGTTTAAAGGTTTTCTTGGTCTGGACTGCTTTACCACGTGCCCCAGCACTCTCTGACTGTGAGACAAACCTGAATGGCCATGCCAGCTGCTCTCTCTGCCCCACCCCTTTTTCAGTTCCCTCAGAGCCTAGCTTCATGCTAGGACGTTTACTGCCCCAGCTCTGGGAAGCTGCTGTGTCCATGACGCGGCAGGCATTTTTACCTAGCACACTGGCTGCTCAAGTGCTCTGCTGCACTGCAGGGCCTCTTTAAAAGAGCCCCGCCTCTGTACACCAAGCCTGCCCTACCTGAGAGACCGTTTTCTCAGGCCCTCCGTGGATATTCAAGCCTCCACGTTGGACATCATATGTAGTGAGTCTTTCTATGTCCCGCCAGCCAGCTCCCAAATAAGGACACAAAGACTTCTTATTAATTATGAATGCTTGGCCTTAGCTTAGGCTTGTCCCACTAACTCTTATAACTTAAATTAACCTATTTATTTTAATCTGCATTCTGTCACGTGGCTCATTACCACATATCTCCATACTGCCCATGCTGCTTCCTCAGTGTCTGGCTGGTGACTCTGCCTTCTTCTTCCCAGTCTTCCCTGTCTCCAGAAATTCCACCTATGCCTCCTGCCTAGCTATTGGCCATTGAGCTTTTTATTACACCAATCACAGCAAATACATCTTCATATAGTGTACCAGTATCCCACAACACTGTCATATTATGCATTTTTCATAGTTTTCCTAGTAAGGAAGCAAAGTTAGTATATACCTGAGACACGGTCCAAGGATTAAAAGCAAAAGCATAAGAAAAAACTAAAGTTTAAAGAAAAAAATTATGTTTGCTGTAGTGACTATATGTACGTCATCATTGATTTTGCATTTAAACCACTTAGGATGGATGTGGTGGTGGTATGCCTGTAATCTGAGCATTTAGGAGGGTGAGGCAGAAGGATTGTGAGTTTGAAGCCAGCTGAGTTAAGTAGTGAGCTCTAGGCCAGCCTGTGCTATGTAGCAGTGCCCTGTTTCAAAAGAATAAAGTAATAAGACATTTAATTCTGTTGTATACTAAAAAATAAAGCAAAAATTGTCATCACTAAGGAGGTGTTTGCTTGTTTAGAAATGAGAAATGTCTCTAATTCTTAATCCTTTCGCTAGGATTTTTTTATTCCTGTATTTTCTCTTTTTTCTTTTGTTGTTGTTGTTTGGGGTTTTTGGTTTTGTTTTTGTTTTCTTCACAAGACAGGGTTTCTCTGTGTAGTTTTGGTGCCTGTCCTGGATCTTGCTCTGTAGACCAGGCTGACCTCAAACTCAAAGAGATCCACCTTGCTCTGGGATTAGAGGCATGCATCACCACCACCCGGCTATTCCTGTATTTTCTTGGCATATGAGATAATATTGTTGACTGTAAGTAATAATGATTTGTGTTTTTATAGCATTTTCCATCTAGGGATGAGTGTTTACAGGTATCTCACGAGTCCTCACAGTATTTCAGTCAAGTTGTTATGTTTATATATAATCCCAGCAGCTGGAAAATGACAAATTGAGTCCCTAAAATAAATAGTGTATGTTTTGGAAGGATTAGCTTGGTATAAATCATTAACCCCTTTATTCTTTGTGCATTGCTTAAAAAAAAAAAAAAAAACTAACATTTTAGAGCTTTAAAATGTCCATATGAATTTTTTACATCATTTCTTTAGGAATAGGAAGCATCCTAATACTCTGTTTTTCTTTCTCTTTTAGGTCAGCAGCAAGGACAGGATGGAGTGAAAGTCCAGCAAGCTACGATAGCTCCTGTAACGGTGGCAGTTGGAGGGATTGCTAATGCTACGATAGGTGCTGTTAGTCCTGACCAACTCACACAAGTGCATTTGCAGCAAGGCCAGCAGACCTCTGATGCAGAGGTGCAGCCTGGCAAAAGGCTTCGAAGAGTTGCCTGCTCGTGTCCTAATTGTAGGGAAGGAGAAGGAAGGTAACTGCCGTTCTCACCCTGGCTCTCTGGAGTATTAAGCAGTCATTGGCCACCTCCAATCACTGGAGCCTCCTGAGCATTCTCGGGCAGAAGCAGGAATGCAGTGTTGTTAAGTTGGGCTGTTTGAGGAGCAGTCCTCTGCATTGTGTTTTATAATTTTTAAGAAATGAATTTCTTTTTTCATTTATTAGGGGAAAACTTTGAATACCTTTATTGATTTCAAACTAACTCCTGTTCTGTGCTGTTTGCCTGTTTGCAATATACAGTGCAGTAGTTTGTAATCAGTCAGTTATACAGCTGTCACCAGTGTTTTAAAACACTTTTGTCATCTTCAAGAAAAGTTGTGTCCCTCAAACTCCTCAGCTCTACTAAACTGATTTCTGTATTTATAGATTTTACTATACTGGACATTTCATTCAAGTGGAATCATACAGTATTTGAATTTTTGATGGCCTAATCAATACTTCATTTCTGCTGTGAACAAATAATATTCCATTGTGTGGAATATTTAGTATATATGTAGTGCTTGTTTATCCCATCACTTGATAGACAGCAGAACTCTTTCCTTATTGACCATTATGACCATATGACCAGTGTATACATGTATATAAAAGTGTGCATGCAGACATTCACATTCAGCTTTTCTCTCTCTCTCTCTCTCTCTCTCTCTCTCTCTCTCTCTCTCTCTCTCTCTCTCTCTCTCTCTCTGTGTGTGTGTGTGTGTGTGTGTGTGTAGACATAGAGTTGCCAGGCTGTGTGGTGACTGTTGAATCATTTAAGGAACTGCCACACTATCTCCTAAAGTGACTGTACCATTCTATATTCCCACCAGCACTGTATGAAGGTTCCGGTTTCTCTGTAGAATTGCTAGACTTTGGCATTACCTGATTTTTTTAAAAGTCAGCTTAATACTCAGTCTGAAAGTGATATCAAGGTGTGGTTTTGATTGAAATTTTCTTAGTGATTAGTGATTATTTGATCATCTTTTCATGTGGTTTTTGATCGTTTGTGTATCTTTGGAGAAATGTGTATTTAGATCCTTTTTCCACATTTAATTGCGGTCATTTTTAAAAATCACTGAAGAGTAGTTCTTTATATATTCTTATTTATATATAAGATCTCACAAGGACATGATTTGGAGATATCGTTTCCTAGTGTGTGGAATGACCATATACTGTCAAGATTACGTCTTTCAAAGCACAAAATCTTTTGAAGTATAATTTTTTGTTTCTTCTCCCTTGTTTGCTTTTGTTTTTAATGTCATGTTGAAGAATCCATTGCCAAATCTAATGAATGTTCATAGTTTTGTTTTTGAGTTTTACAGATTTTACTCTGATATTTAGATATAATAATTCTTGGTTCCCTTTTCTGATGTGATATGAAGGAAGGGTACACCCAGCGTCATTTACTGAAGTTTCTTTTCCCTCTTGAGTGGTCTTAGCTTCCATTTCTCAAAATTGCTTTAAGTGTTTAGCAACACTGGGGATTCTGTATGAATTTTAGCATTGCTTGTCAGTTTCTACAGAGATGGGAAGTGGTATTCTGATGGGAATTGAGGTGAAACTGCAGGTCAATTTGGGGATAGGGACAACAATATTGGGTCTTCAGGTCCATACAAAGAACACCTTTCCTTTTATTTAGATTTTTGCTAATTTGTTTCATCAGTATTTTGTAATTTTTTTTAGAGTGTAAGCTTAGCATTTGTTAAATTTATTCCTGTTAAATCTTCCTGGTGTTATTATAAATGAAGCCATTTTTTTTTTATTTCTCTTTCTAAGTGTACAGAATCACATTGGCTTTTGTGTACTGATCTTATGTTGATGATTTCTTCTTGTGGTTGTCTTAATGGTTGCTTAAGAGTTCTATATATATAGGACTGAAGAGATGGCTCAGCAATTAAGAGCACTGGCTGCTCTTCTAGAGGACTCAGGTTCAAGTCCCATCACCCACATGGTGGCTTACACCTGTCTGTAACTCCATTCCCAGGGGATCCAAAATTCTTCTGGCCTTTGTAGGCACTTACACACATGTGGTATGCAGACATATGGGCAGGCAAAGCACTCATACACATCTTTTAAAAATTGAAGATTTCTATAAACCAAAAATACACACTGGAAAAAAGATGGTATTCATCATGTTACACAAAACTCAACTCCAAGTGGATCAAGGACCCCAACATAAGACTTGATATCCTGAATCTGATAGAAGAAAAAACATGGAATAGGCTTTAACTCATTGTCACAGGAAAAGATTTTCTGAACAGAACATAGATAGCACATAAGACTAATGACTAGTAAAAGGCACTTCAGGGCTGGAGAGACATGGCAGCTCACAACTGTCTGTAATTCTAGTTCGAGGAAATCCAACACCCTCTTCTGGACTTAGCAGGCGTCAGTCATGCAGGAGATACACAGACAGACATGCAAGCCGAATTCACAAATGAAATGGTTAAAAAATAAATAAAGGGGGCCTCATGAATCTGAAAAACTTCAGTGTGGCAAAGGACACTGTCATTCAGACAACTTACCAGCCATACATCCTGTAGAGGGTTAGTGTCTAGAGTATGTAGAGAACTAACAAAACTGAACATCAAGAAAATAACCTAATTAAAAAGTGGGGTACAGAACTAAGCAGAGAGTTTTCAAGATGAAGCACAAATGACTGAGAAACACTTTTTAAAAATGTTCAACATCTTTAACCATCAGAGAAATTAGAACCACCTTGAGATTTCATCTCCTATTGGTCAGAATGGCTAAGATCAATAAAACAAATGACAGCTCACATTGGTGAGGATGCAGGGAAAGGGGTTGTTGCTGGTGGGAGTGGAAATCTGTACAGCCATTATGGGAAACTGTGGAGATGCCTCTGGAAGCTGGGACTTGATCTACTTCAAGATCCAGCTATCCCTCTCCTGGGCATTTATATCCCAAAAGACTATACCCTACTACAGAGACACTTGCTCGTCTATGTTTATTGCTGCTCTATTCATAATAGACAGAAGTTGGAAACAGCCCAGATGTCCATCAGCCAATGAATAGATAATGAGAATGTGGTACCTTTACACAGTGGAATATTGTTGAGCTGTTAAGAAAAATGAAATTTGAAGGTAAATGGGTGGTGCTAGAAAGCATCATGCTGAGTAAGGTAATCCAGATCCCAAAAGACAGATATCTATGTTCTTTCTTATATGTGGATGTTAGCTTTAAGCTTTCAAAATATATGCTACAATCCAAATAACCACAGAGGTTAAGTACCTAGTAAGGGACCAGGGGAGAAGAGATAATTTCCCACGTAAGGGGAGATAAATTAAAGCTATGGAGAAATAGAGGGGCTTCTAGACTAGGAGGATTAAATAGGGAAGGGGATGGGAAGGAAAAGTAAAGAGAGGAGATGGGGAGGGACAGCTAACACTAAAGGCCATTTGAAAAAACATGGAAACCTACTGTAGAAGCTTCCTAATATATACGTATATGAACGGAATTTAAATGGAGTCACTAAATAACAGGGGAGACAATACCCCAACTAGACATCTTATGCCACTAAGTAATACCTTCAGTGCTAGGAATGGGTGCATACTGGTGCTCGCAGGCTTACATCTTATTGAGTAATTTACCAAAGGGGTTCTATCGAATCCCCCAAATATTTACAGGTTATTGCCAAGGTTATTGGTTGTTCTCCACAACTTATTTATAAGACCCTATTTCTGAAGACAATATTTACACCATCAAACATGTAAAAGGCATACTGGTACCTAATAAGAAGCTTCACTCCTACTGATTAGCATTCATGGTACTAGAAAATATTTTTGCATACTGCAAGAAATAGATAACCCAGCTACAAACCCTGCAACCTGCTTGTAAGATACACTGGTACAATAGGGGCACAAATGTTATGTGAACAATCAACCACTTTTTAAAAATTGTATTTAAGGTCTTTTCCATGAGATAGAACCCATACCTGCAACTGATGAAGTGGCCAAGAATCTGAGACTAGATAGAACATGAGCGTAAGGGAAGACTTTACTACTCTTCTGCTAAAGGAACATAGCAGTGAAATGACTCCTAGTGACATATTGCTATACCCATAGGTCAGTGACTCACTCAGCCTTCATCAGAGACACTTCTTGCAGTAGATGGGAGTTAACACAGGTCCATAATTTTACAGTGTGGAGGGAGTGAGAAACTTTGGAGGACTCAGTCCTAAATGGGATGTCTTCACCAAACTCCTCCCCTTTTGACTCAGGGGTATGTGTAAAAGGGGAGGAAGAAAGACTGTATGAGCCAGGGGTGGTGGATGAGTCCAAGGAAATAGTATCTTCCACACATGAACTCACAGAGACTGACAACATGCACAAGACCTGCACAGGTTCAAGCCAGATGGGGTTGTAGCACTGAGAGGAGGGAGTGGACATGGGGTCCCTGTCCCTAACCAAGAAGCTGTTTGTAATTGATAGCCACTAGCAAAGGGAAAATCAGTTTTCTCTAATGGAGTGTTGCTGGATATATCAACCATACTCCAGGGCAGGCCCCATGCCTAGGAATAGTTGGCCAACACAAAACTAACTCTATTTTTATTTCATTTTCTTTTGTTGTGGCAATTTTTGTCTTGTTGGTCTTTTGCCTGTTCTGATTTTTAATTTTGTCATTTTTTTTCTTTTGAAAAAAGAGAGAGACAACATAAAGTTGATTGGATAAGGAGATGGGGGAGTTCGTTTGTTTGGTTGTTTGGTTGGTTGCGGGGGGTCATCTAGTTTATCACTCTTTAAATATGACTCTAGCTCTAGAACACTGGATCAAGTTGAGGAAGCTCTTTTCTTCCTCATTTTAATCACAGAGGATTTTTAGGTCAAACACTTCATTGCGTTTGTTAAAATGATCAGGAATTTTTAAGAATATTATATATAGTTTGTAACATAAGTAGTTGTTACAAGTCATCATTTTTGCATGTTTATGGTAAAAGTCCTCCTGGTTATGGTGTATAATTCTTTTTATAGGTGACTGGAATTTAGTTTGCTGCCCCTTTTCTCTCCTCCTCCCCACTCCCCTTCTTCTGCCGGCCTCACAGTCTTTCATGCCTGTGCCTCTGGAGAATCCTGGCACCATAAGCATGTGCCACCACACACTGCTTAGTTTGATGATGTTGAGGGTCCTTTTCGTCTGTGTCCATGAGGTGCTGGTCTCTGGGTTTTTTGGGTATTCTTATGTTGTTGATAATATTGGTCTCATAAAATGAATTGGAAAGTGTTCCCTGCAGGTTTGTTTTTTGAACAAGTCTTTGAAAAGCTGGTGCTGTGTGTGTGTGTGTGTGTGTGTGTGTGTGTGTGTGTGTGTGTGTGTGTGTGTGTATAGTTATGGTAGTACATGCCTTTAATCCCAGAGGCAGGCAGATCTCTTCTGAGTTTTTGGCCAGACTGGTCTACATAGTGAGTTCTAGCATAGCCAGGGCTGTAGAGAGAGACCTTGTCTAAAAAAACAAACAAACAAACAGTTATATATATGGGGGGGGGGGCGCGGCGGGATTTCATCAGTAAAGCTGTCTGACGCTCGACTTTATGTAGTTCTGACTAACTCTTAGTTATACATTTATTTTGATTGATCTCTTGTTTTTGTTTGTGTCAGTTTTTAAATTTTCTGTTTAAGAACTTGTCTGCCTCATCTAAGTGGTTGATAAAAGATCTATTCCTAATGTTCCTTTAAGATCATTTTTACTTTTGTGAGATTGATAATGATTTTTATTTATGAGGGTGTTTATTGAGTCTTTTTGTCTTGGTTAGTTTAGCTGAAGGCTTATCGTTTTGCTGAGTTCTGGGAGCATGTGTTTGAAAATTTTCTAATCTCAAAGCTCACTCTCCTTTCTACCCTGGCTTCTTTCCACAGACTAGCCAGCCTGTGGTTTATCTCCAATGACCATGTGTCTTTCCCCGGCTACCTTTGCAACAGTTATTTCCTTTTTAAAATGAGTCCTTCAGTTCAACTTCAGCTCTCTTTCAGATTGTCGGTTTCTTTGAGGAGATCTAGAGCTCATTCTGGGTAGAATATCAGAATCAAGGCTCTTAAAGTGATTCCCTATTGAAGGCAGAGCAGCAATGTGCTCATGTCTTCTTAACCTTGCTTCTCCCAGCTTGATGGCTCTAATTTGTGAACTGTGCATGAAAGTCCAGAACTACCTGGACCATATCATTTTCATCATGTCACAACTAATGTGGAGCTCCTGTCCATGGACTGGGCACTGGGTGCCTTTTAGCCACACCTCCCTGGGACTCTGCCTCAGCACAGATAGCTGGCAGTAGAGTGAGGAACACTGTGCCCCGCCCCTCTCTGGAAGATAGTGGCGGTTTGATTGGGAGGTGGGAGGGGAGGGAGCCCTGTATGTAAATGACCCACCATTCGGCACTGACAGAATCTGAGTTTGGGGTATGACTGTTGGTTTTGTTCTGTTAGGGGCAGCAGTGAGCCAGGAAAGAAGAAGCAGCACGTTTGCCACATTGAAGGGTGTGGGAAAGTGTATGGCAAGACCTCTCACCTCCGAGCCCATCTTCGCTGGCACACTGGAGAAAGGCCTTTCATCTGCAACTGGATGTTCTGTGGCAAAAGATTCACACGGAGCGATGAGCTGCAGAGACACAGAAGGACCCACACAGGTTAGTCACTTTATCTCGGGCTGCAGCTGTTCTTTCTACTTAGTCTTCCAGTGCTTACTGAGAGTCACACTGCTGAAGGTCAAGACTCCTTTCCTCCTTTTAATGGACATTTATTTTACTTCTTAAATTCTGTCTCCGTGTTTATGTGACCTGGAATTTGTTTCTTTTGCTTTCTAGGATGTTAAATACATACAATGTTTTTATAAGTTTAAATGTGTAAGAAGAGAATTGAATTATGATTTTAAGCATTTTTTAAGGAGGAGAAAGGGGGTTAAGAAAGGCAGTATCTGCTTCCATATTAGACTGTCAACCATCCATCAGCCAGAGGCATCGAGCTGTTCCTTACATTTTTGGAGATGTCTAGAGTTGTCAGATCTTATCTTTTAGCATACCTAATTGCTTGACATAGAAGCAACATTTCTCCCTGAGGAAGAGGCAAAGACCACTGTGGTTGTTTTTTTTTTTTTTTTTTTGGGGGGGGGTTTTGGTTTGGTTTGGTTTTTTTGTTGTTGTTGTTTTACTTTTTGGGGGCCCGCCACCCAGCTCCCAAAATAAATACATGGATACACGGAGATTTAGTCTTTCTTAAGAATGCCTAGCCTTAGCTTAGCTTGTTTCTAGCCAGCTTTTCTACCTTAAATTATCTCGTATCTCTTTAACTACATTTTACCTCTTAGCTTTTTACCTTTCTTTATTCTTTATATGTAATTGAATGATTTCCTGTGTCCCACCTGGCCCAAGATTAGGACAGATCTCTCTCTCACCCACAGTCCCATAGCTGCTTATAAAATAATCACTCAGAGGCTTAATATTAATTACAAACTGTATGGCCCATGGCTAAGAATTCTTGCTAGCTAGCTCTTTCATCTTAAATTAACCCATTTTTATTAATCTATGTATTGCCCTGTGGCCATGGCATTACCAGTCTTTTAGCATGCTGCTCCTTGGGGGGCAGGCTGGCGTCTCCTCTGCCTCTGCATTTATCCTTCCTGTCTCTCTCTTGGATTTCCTGCTTGGCTATAACCTGACTCACCATAGGCCAGAGCAGCTTCTTTATTAACCAATCATAGCAACACATATTCACAGCCTACAGAAAGACATCCCACAGCATATGTATCTTTTTTTCCTTCCTATTCCATGGATGGCTGTGTGACTGGGTGGCTGATCCCTGGTGTCCTCCTCTTCTCCTTTTCTCGCTCCTTCTCCTCTCTAGATTTCTCCTCCTATTTATTCTCTCTGCCTGCCAGCCCCACCTATCCTTTCTTCTGCCTCATTGGCCGTTCAGCTCTTTATTAGACTGTCAGGTGTTTTAGGCAGGCAAAGTAACACAGCTTGACAGAGTTAAGCAAATGCAACATAAAAGAATGCAACATGTCTTTGTATCCTTAAACAAATATTCCACAGCATAAACAAATGTAACACATCTTAAACTAATATTCCACAACAGACCACCCTTCGCTGTTAGTAGATCTGATCCTTGCCAGTTCTGTAGCACCATGGCAGCCAGCCACTCTGTTTGGCCCTGGAGGCTGAGGATGGTCTGAGCACCTGTTGGAGCTCCTGGATGAGCTGAGAGGGGAGCTGATAGTAAATAATTAGGGAAGTAGTTAGTCCTGGTGTTCCAGTGATGATGCCACCAGTAACACCCAGGGCTGCAAGAAGGGACTGGACCTGGACCATTCGTTTGTCATTTCATGCCTCTGTAAACTGTGATAGGAACCAGCATGGTTCTTCTCTGGGTACTACCTCCAATTTTGGTAAAAGGAACACCAGGACACAAGTCCCTGACCACGCAGTAGGTAGGCAGCGGTAAATTTGAGTGCCTGGTAGGTGGTCATTTTGGTGACTTTGAGTAGTCTCCATTTTGTCTTTATAAACCCAGGAAATGTCAAGAATAATATAACAAATATCCACTTAACATTCTTTTACAATTATATTTTTTGTTATTTTTAGTAATCACCTCACAAAGGAAGTCATTATCAAAGACAGTGGCCACCATCGGTCTGTGATTTGGTGTCATATTCCTAGTGTATTTTTAATACTCATGTATACTACTTGTGGGTCTACATAGAAAGTCATGTTTTATACAGGTCATCAAATGTTACATAATAGTATCATTCTACATACTTTATTTTAAGAGATACGCAGTATTCTGTCACATGACTACCACACTGCACTAAATTATTTCCCACACTGTTGGTTATTGGTAGGCTCTTTGCTGTTACCAACTTTGCTGCTTTGACAGTATTGGACATGTTTAAGGGGCAAGAGTATTAGATCATAGAGCATGTGTGTTTGGTAATAGGGTCTCTAAAATGACTACTTAACATTTCTCCTTGACTAGTGGTGATTAGAAGTTTGTGTTCACACATTCTCAGTACTGTAGTGCCAGCTCCAGAAGTTTGTATCTATTTAAAACAGTTTCTCTTTTTAAAGTTTGTACTTTCTGTGATTTTTCCTGAGATCAAGCACCTCTTTATGTGTGTTGGCTATTCTTCTTTGTCATCATACGTCTCACTTTTCTTCTGGGGTGTTTCTCAGTCATGTTATTTATGTAGTCCCGTCCCCCCCCCCCCATATTTTGTGTTATCTTTTGTCATATAGAAGTTTTATATATTTAGTTACAAAATCTTTTTTAATGAAAGAAATTCAAGTCTAAGATAGTTGGATCTCATTTGAAACATTTTTTCTTACAGCCTTGAATTTTTTGTTTTTGCCTCCAATTTGGTCTTTAAAGTGCCCAAAAGGGTGATTTTGTTTCCTTTTGGTTTTTTTTTTTCTTGCCCCCCTCTCTCTGTCTCTCTGTCTCTCTCTCTCTGTGTCTTTCTCTCTCATCTCTCTCTCTCTCTCTCTCTCTCTCTCTCTCTCTCATCTCTCTCTGTCTCTGTCTCTGTCTCTGTCTCTCTCTCTCTCTCTCTCTCTCTCTCTGTCTCTCTGTCTCTCTCTCTCTCTCTCTCTCTCTGTGTGTGTGTGTGTGTGTGTGTGTAATGAATTGAGGCTGTAATTTTTTTCCAAGTGGAAAG